TTCTTTACAGGAAATGCCTTCATCCATTTCGTGTTAGGGAATACGAAATGTTCATGCACGAAATATAGTTGGGAAAGGGTTTGAGAGAATTGCGGTTTTTTTCTTTGAAAATTACAAATGAAATAAAGTCGCACTGCAAGGTGGTAAAATTTGTTCTATGAATAGCATTTCAGTGCACATTATCCAATGTGAGTTTAAATCAAGCATGCTACTTTTTTTTTCATTTAAATAAGGGTAAATATCACTTTGCCCATATGATTTGAACTTTGTGCACATCACTTCCTTATATCTTAATAAAGCACATAACTCTCTTGTATCTAAAAAAAATGTTTTACTAATGACCATGGTTATTTACCAAGTGAAATACTCTAGGGGGTTATGTGCTTATATTAAAAGTACGAGGGGTTATGTGCACAAAGTTCAAATTATAGAAGGATCACGTGCTTATATTGAAAATACGAGGGTCATGCGATTGAGAAAAAGAGGAAAACAAGGTGGGGCAGAGGTGATGGAGCTCGTTACCTCAAAACGCAGACATGAAATGGTGCGTGCTCCGGCGGTGGCTATGGAGGAGGGCTACGAAAATGGTGGCTAGTTGAAGAATGTTACTATGTGTTTTTGGGTTTATGGGAGAGAGGGCTTTATTAAAAATGCAGGGACTGAATTGAAAATTTTGAAACAAAAATTCTGGGGTGAATTTATAATTTTGGAATTTCTAACTAAAAGGGTATTGATCCATTGGGTTTTTTCTAGTTTTCGCACTTTGCCCCTTAGAAATTAAAAAAAATAGACTTCCCCCCTTCGAAATTTCGTAATAGTTGCAGTTTGCCCTAAATGTGACTTTCCGGCGGATTTTTCACCGGTTTTCTCATGTCTCCGTCAATTTAAAGGGTATTTTCGTCCTTTCAGGGTATATACATAATTTTGCACCCAAATCCCAAATATGCTGATTCTTTATATCCACGATTACACAATTGAGCTCCAAAATTAGGGCTTCATTTTTCTCTTCAAAGGCAAAAGCTTTCAAAAAGGGTAAGATCTTTTGGGCGTTTCATTCTTTGTGTGTAAAATTCAGTTGTTGGAGCTACGATTTAGTTGGAGCTACGATTTATGGGTGTTTGAATTTCGACCTTCCTTTCATTTTGTTAGATGAGGAAAATCATGGAAAATCAATGTTTTTGTGCATTACCTCTGTTCTCTTTATGTGTTCCTTCTCTCCATTTCCAATTCATACTTTTTAAATCTATGGGAAAGAATCACCATAATAGCTGGTAATCGAAGAAGAAACTGAAGATTCTTACGATTTGGTGACCATCACCGTAATTGTGTTTGACAGAATATACCCTTATTTTTTTTTGGTTCTAAAATAAGGTAATGCGTTGTCTAATGAGTTGGGTTTTTTTTAGCGATAAATAATATTTGGGTGGAAACCTTGAAAAGACGAAAATGCCCATTAAATTGACGGAGACATGAGAAAACCGGTGAAAAATCCGCCGAAAAGTCACATTTGGGGCAAAGTGCAACTATAACGAAATTTCGAAGGGGGAAGTCTCATTTTTTAATTTTTAGGGGGCAAAGTGCGAAAACTAGAAATTTCGAGGGGGCGAAGTGCATTTTGTCCTTCAATTTTTTGGAGGTTTTTTTTCGTCTCTTCGCTAGCAGTCAATAAATAAAAATAAAAAGGGTCGAGTGTGCTTATTTGAACTGATTACACCATGAGGTTTTTGGCACTTAATTTTTTCCGAGGTCTTTTTGGTCTTTCGACATTGCACGTGTTTTATTTTTTTTGGCAGTTTACTCTGTTTAGCAACACTAGTTAGTTGTCTACACCCTGTCAGCATAATATAATATAAAATTAAATGCTCATAATCCCAATTAACTAATTAATTAATTAATAATTACTCCCTTGAACCAATTATTAAGAACCAGTTGACTTAACTTAACCAAAAAAGGATGCAAACATCAACACCTTAATTTTCTCGAAACAAAGTAATATTGATCCAAGAACTCCTTTTTCAGATCAACAGACAACACAACAATGTTGAGTTTCAATCAGCAACAAATTCTCGACGGGTTTCGGTTCCACCCCTTTCTGCTTTCGCTACTCGGTTTACTCTCACTCAGTTTCGTCGCAAAACGGCTGTACATAAACCCGTCGCTAATTAGCACCAAAAAACTCCCTCCATCACCGCCAAAGCTACCAGTACTAGGCAACCTCCATCAACTCAGCACGTTGACTCACCGATCATTCCAATCGTTAGGCGCAAAACACGGGCCTTTAATGCTTCTCCACTTCGGCAACAAGCCCGTGATCATCGTCCAATCCGCCGACGCAGCGAAAGAAATCATGAAAACAAACGACATAGTCTTTGCCGATAAGCCACACACGAGAACCGCAAGGCGGTTTTTCTACGAACTCAGAGATATATCGGTCGCACCGTACGGTGAGTACTGGAGGAAACTGAAAAGCATTTGTGTTCTCCAGCTTTTAAGCAGCAAGAGAGTTCAGTCTTTCGGTTTCATCAGGGAGGAAGAAACTTCTCTTTTGATGGAAAAGATTAATAAATTGTCCAAGAATTTAGAGCTTGTGAATCTGAGCGAGTTGTTTGTGTCGGTGACGAACGATGTGATTTGCAGAGCGGTTTTCGGGAGGAAGTACGGTGAAGGGGAAGGTGGGAAGAGGTTTCTGATGCTTCTGAGGAAAGTTGTCGAATATATGGGGAGTGTGAGTATCGGAGAATTTGTACCGTGGCTTTCGTGGATTAATTATGTTACCGGATTCCATAGGAGGGTTGATAAGGCTGCTAGAGAAGTTGACGGTTTCTTGGAGATGGTGGTTCAAGAACACATGTTGATTAACGAAGGCGTACGAATAAGTCGGGATGAAAGCAGGGAGAACTTTGTCGACATTTTGATGAATCTTTACAAGGATGATAAGAGTGGTGTTTCTGTTGATAGAGATGGTATCAAAGCTATTATTCTGGTCAGATCTCTCTCTCTCTCTCTCTCTCTCTCTCTCTCTCTCTCTCTCTCTCTCTCTCTCTCTCTCTCATAATCAAACGGTGATACGGGGAAATGGATAAACACGGTGAAACGACAAATCCTGCCAACGGGAATACGGGAACTTGGGGGAAATGTGTAAATATTAAAAGTATAAGGGTACATTTATAAATATGCTATATTAAATGTAAGTTTTTGTTATATATATATATATATATATTATTTTTCTGTATTTTCATACAAATATATTAAAAATAAATTTTACAATTAACTATAAATTTGCAGTTGATCACGAAATCATGAAAATAATTAGGGAAAATACAAAAATATTTGAAAATTTGCTATTCAAACATGTTTCTAAATTTTAAAAAAATTGTAAAATGGCCGATAAGGTGTTCAGTAGGTGTCTTCAACTTTCCGACATGAAACGTTTCCGAAACGCGGAAACGTTAAGAGGTTGAAGTTTCCGTGCTACATAGGTTTCACCTGGATCATTTCATCTTTTTACTTGGCATTACTTTTGATCCAAACCAAACCTCTCACTGTAGTTTTTAGCATTGTTTTAGTAATTAAAATATATAATGCAATAAACGCAGGATATAATCGCCGGAGGAACCGATACATCAGCCGCAACTCTAGAATGGACAATGTCCGAACTCCTAAGACACCCTATAGCCCTCAAGACCTTGCAAAACGAAGTAAGAGAAATCACGAGGGGCAAAAACATCATAACCGAAAACGACTTGGTGAAAATGCACTATTTGAGGGCCGTCGTGAAAGAAACGCTACGCCTCCATCCTCCCGTCCCCTTATTGGTCCGCGTGGCACGGGAAAACATTAAAGTAATGGGCTACGATATTTCCATCGGGACAATGGTCCTAACTAACACATGGGCAATCGGGAGGGATCCCGATTCTTGGAATGAACCGGAGAAGTTTATGCCCGAGAGATTCTTGACTTCTTCGGTTGACTTTAAGGGGCTCGATTTTGAGTTGATTCCTTTCGGAGCTGGGAGAAGGGGGTGTCCTGGTATCGTGTTTGCTATGGTAGGGGTTGAACTTGTGCTTGCGAATGTTGTGAAGAAGTTCGAGTGGGAGTTGCCGAAGGGGACGACATGTGAGAATTTGGACATGACAGAACAACCTGGTTTTACTACTCATATGAAGAACCCTCTTTTGGCTGTTGCAACTCCTTGTTATAATTTCTAGTTGTGATGTAGATTGTAATAACATTTTAATTTGTGCACAAGGAAACATAATCAAATACCAAATGGGAAACATCTTATCTTGCAAATTTACTTGGATAATATAGAGTTCATGAATTTGGAAGAGATTCATGAATGTTTCGGTTGGTTGTCGTTTGGATTCTTTTGTTGAATCGTGTTAGGTTTCATTGACGGCGTTACGGTTGCTTACTTGCTTTTGTTACTTTTAGTAGTCACAATTTCATTATTCAACCACAATTTTAATAGTCAGTTCGTTAATTGAATATGCTCTAGTCGATTAGTATACCTGACAGTGGAGAAAATGGTTAAAAAAACGAAAAAAATAACAAATTAATTATACAAAACGAAAGTTAGTTTTAAAATAAAGGGAAAAACGAGATTAGGTGTTGGTGTAGTGGAAAGAAAATAGAGGAAAGAAAATTTTGTAATTAGAGAGAAAGTGAAAAAAAATATAAGTATGAATTTATTTCAAAGAGGGATATATATTATATACACGGACATATTTCATCATCATACTTGAGCGAATCAAATCGCATCCTGTCGAAACATGTGCATTATTTTTTATGTTGTAGTAGATGAGAACTACACAATGATGACATTTTCTTTATGCATATATTGTAGTAGATGAAAACAAATACACAATAATTACACAATATATTAGGTTCTTTTGTTTTTGTAGAATTTTCTAATGATCACCCATGTTCCTCTCTATAACAAAAGTCAAGGCATCGAGACCCGTGGGAGCACCAAGGATGACCGTTGCCGCCGCACCGATCTCACCACCCACCGCCGCACACTCGATCTCGCCACGCACCGACGCACACCTCTGCCGCGCATGGGGCGACCTCAACTGTGAGAAGATCGTCCAATCGTCCATGTTTTCGTAAAAGATCCAGTAGATTAGGAGGAACAAATCGAGAGAAAATAGTGTTAATATAACCTAATTTTAGGTCCAATTTCAGTTTTTTCGTCATGCCACTAAAATGAGTAGATTGAATGTGTTCAAAATATAAACTTTAGAATGTATTGTGTCCATTGTCGAAAAGTCTTGTTTGGGGTTGAGGCGGATCAGAAGAAGGTGTGGTGGTGGGTTTATGAGATCCTACCCCTGGTCAAGTACACCATGTGATTTTATACAGTAGGCCTACTAAAATAACTATCAACTAAGTACATATACACATTGTTGGTCGAAAACCTACACGCAAGTGCACGTATCGTACAAGTAATATAGTGGACTAAAAGTCCGGATATCGAACCCACAGGGAATATTTAATTATCTAATCCTAGACGCTAAATTCTACCAATTATTATCAAGCCCACCCTACACAGTCGACTTTAGAGAGAATTAACTAAAGTAAATTAAAAAGCAAATTAAAACGACAAAGAAAGAAAGCAAATTAAACACGAAGATTTATCAGAGTAAACGAGCCTAGGATTTTATTCTTTCCCCTATGTGATTATTATTCCACCAATTCCTTCAATTATGCAAGCAATTAACCCGGATTATTAACCTGAGATGCTAAAATAATCATAACCCGCTTCCGCGTGTATTACGATTCTAATACTCTAGATTCAATTACTATATTCCTATGCAATTAATTCTAGAACACAGCATTAAGCACAAATCTCAATAATGGCTACCTAAGAGATTAACTATATTCCTATGTTAATACCACAAAGGCTCTTCTACCACAGTTCTAATTATTAACCCGATCTTCCGATTCATGCGATTAACAATAACATAAAAGCGCATAAAGTGGCCAGTTTTATGAACTTAATAAAACAAGTAGAAGAAATAATCCGGAATTAAAACTTGCATAAAATCATAGAATTGGGTTCATAAATCCCACATAGGGTTCCAAATAAAATCCTAGAAATAAGAAAATTAGCTACTCATGATTAAAGGAAAAACGCAAATAAAATAAATCATAGACGATAAATCTATGCTTGAAATCTTCGAATTCTTCGTCTTCGTTATTGCTTTGTTGCTCTCCAAATTGCGTAAAAAAGATCCTAATTGTGTGCTTGGATTGGTCTTATATAGTGTGAAGAACTTGAGGAAGAAGGCAGTTTCCTTGTGCAATTAAAATCCCTTTACTGCGCAACTTCGGGGTATGGGACGGGGGTCCCATAATTTGCACTAAAACTGGGACGGGGGTCCGAGCCTTGTTTCTTCAGAATTTTGATATTTTCACTTTTGACCCATAATTTCGCCAAAATTGCAGTTTTGACCCCATACTTTTCCAATTCTTCAATTTGTACCTAAAATACAATAAATCAACTTTTTAAGCACCAATTATCATTAAAACACACCAAAAGCCCAAATAAAAAGGTACGATAAAGTGTAAAAATATACACTTAACACACCCCCAAACTTGAACTATTGCTTGTCATCAAGCAAATAACTCAACTATTACATCTCATCACATAGATCAATGATCAACTTCACGTTTTCAGAACTTGTAATTATAATGACAATTCTTAGGCATTCGCAAGCTCAAAATTCAACAACACTTAGTCACTCACCATTACAAAAAACCACAATTCATACAATTGCTTCAAGCATCCAATATTTGCAAATTAAAGATAGAAAGAATTTATACTTACATGCATATGCTTGACTCCAAATACTCACCAAATTATTCTACTCTACTAATATCGAACATTAAGCTATTGGGATCATTGGGGCTTTGTGGCTTTCAATTGTTAGGCTCTTTGGTTCGAGGTAGGAAATATGGGTATGTGTGGCTATTCTTCTTGAATTTAGGTGATCACGCCAAAATTTTAAAGATAGGCGTTTGAAACAATGAATTCACCTCTACGGACTTTAATAAACTCGATTCACAAAAGTTCAAAAGTCTCCACTTTTGCTTTTGAGGCAATGGATCGAGTTTTAAAAAATAATTCAACAACTAGTCCTTATTTCTCCCTTCTAGTCTCTTCTTCTTCTCTTTTTCTCTCTTTCTTTTTTTTTTTTTCTTTTTTTTTTTTTTTTTTTTTTTTTTTTTTTTTCCGAAGAAAAAGAAGGACTTTATAAAATTTTTGACCGAACTCCAGGGGATAATTTTTTCAAGAATCGCCCCCTATTCTACCTTACACATTGGCTAAAAGAAAGAACACTTTTCTCCGAGGCTCAAAACAATGTTCTAAGGATAATTTCGATAAAAAGTGTCGGCTTGAAAGGCTCAAACGGTTCAATGAAGGCCCAAATCATATCCCAAATCACTCACTACTCAATACTTCGTATCATAAATTTCCTACGGTGAGTCTTAAAACCGAACATAGCATGATCTAGCACAAATTAATTCCAAATTTAAAATACAAAACATTCAACCAAAGCAATGCACAAAATGTGATTCCTAGCAATAATTCGCTTCTAAGTCCCGTTGAATCGAAAGCTAAACAAACATCAAATCCTTATCACACAAAACAAGCAATCTCATCATCAAACATTGATCATCTCTCATCATCATAAATCATCGATGCATTCGACTCAAGCAAATTTTTTTTTTTTTTTTTTTTTTTATATTCCGGAAAAACGAGAAAAACAATAAAAACGAATAAAACCTAATGCATGCAAACTAAAACAAAAAATAAGCACAAAAATAACATGTTTTTCACCCCCAAACTTAAAATTTCCGTTGCCCTCAACGAAATTAGCACAAAGTTTTAAGGATAGAAAACACCTGATTTATTCGGAGTCGATGTGATCGGGGTGCTCCTCCCTAGCTCTCTCATCGGAAAGCTCTCTCGCTCCATCTTCATTCGGAATCGTCGAGCGGCACGGGAGCTTGAGGCTTCGGGGTCGTCTCGGGCTTGAGGAGCGGCTTTGGAAGAGGAATCGTCGTTTTGGTGGCACTTTTCTTACCTTTTCCTTTGCCTTTAGAAGATGAAGCTTCACTCGTGCGGCTTCTTTTGTTGGAAACAATAGTTGGGAGAGAGGTTGGAATAGATTCGTTGAGAATTGGTTGACAATCGAACTCAAAATTTGGTTGGAGCAAATTATCGAACACCTTGTGGGCGTGCCTTGAAAGAGTAGATTTTGGAGAATTTGGTTTGATTCTCTAGCTTCCTTTTGTGTGTGAGAGTTTGAGAGAAGGAAAGAGGAGGGTTTAGGAAACAATGGGGGAGAAAATCTAATTTTTTTAAAGTTAAAACGCCCCAAAACTAGTCGGACGGCCGTCCCGGTTTTTGTGCTGATTTTCGGACGGCCGTCCGACATTTTTTCCTCTTACTGGTTGTGGGACGGCCGTCCCACATTTACACCTATTTTTGGGACGGCCTATGGGGACGGCCGTCCCATAGGCAGAGATGACGATTTGATCGTTCTGTTTCCCAGACGGCCGTCCGGGATTTTGCTTGCAATTTCGGACGGCCGTCTCGACCCCCTGACCATGTTTTCGACCCTGAAAATTAAAATTCAAATAAATTAATTAGATTGCATGCCTATGACGATAAAAACGAAACGAAAAATTAAAGAAAACTACAAAAAACAATAAAGCTCGGGTTGCCTCCCGAGAAGCGCTAAGTTTAAAGTCTTCAGCCGGACGTTGCTTCTTTAATTTCAAGCAAGAGTGACCGAGGTCACTTGGCATTCTTCACTCGCTTCCCAATACGATTTGAGCCGGCTCCGCTTCACGTTGAACGTACGATTTGAATCGCGCTCCTTTATTTTGACCACCTCGTGAGGAAGAATTTCTTGGACAATAAACGGCCGCGACCACTTTGATTTGCGCTTCCTTGGAAATAACCAAAGACGGGATTTGCACAATAACACCAATTGTCCTTTGTGCAATTCCTTTTTGATTTTCTCCTTAAGACCGCAATAGCTTGACTCATCCTTCTCTCGTGACTTGCTCGAGCCTTTGGTTGGCAACATCTTCCTTGCATTCTCATCGTCGTTAAGACCTCGACTCGCATGACTTTCTCTCGGAGGATTTAAAAGTGAGTCCATGAAATAAACTTGCTCCGTCCGATTCCCGT